AAAAAAAAAAAAAAAAAACTATCATAAACATCTGAGTTTTTTTTTTTTAAAGAGAGTGAGACAGAGAGAGAGAGAGAGAGAATTTTAATATTTATTTATTTATTTTTTAGTTTTTGGCAGACAAAACATCTTTGTTTGTATGTGGTGCTGAGGATCGAACCCGGGCCGCACGCATGCGAGGCGAGCGCGCTACCACTTGAGCCACATCCCCAGCCCAACATCTGAGTTTCATATGAACAGAAGTTTTCATTTCTCTGAAATATCCAGGAGTGTGATCCCTAAATTGCATGGTATCCATTTTAGCTTTATAAGACATTGCTCAAGCTGGACATGGTGACACACACCTAATAAGCCCAGCAATTTGGAAAGCTGAGGCAGGGGAATTACAAGTTCTAGGCCAGCCTCAGCAACTTAGCAAGACCCTGTCTCAAAAAATAAAAAACACTGGGTAGAGTACCCATAGGTTCAATCCTCAGTATCAAAAAAACACAAAAACTTCAAGTAGAAAAAAAAAAAGAAACTGCCCCGTTGTTTTTCTCTGGTGGTTTTGACGAACAGATTTTTTTTTTTTCCAATGAAGTCCAATTTATCATGTTTCTGTTGTCCGGGTTAGTGCTTTTAATCAAAATCTGAAAACACCTGATTAAATATACTTGACAATTTAATTGCTAGAGAGTGTCTTTTGGAGTGACAATATTTATTCTTGGCCTTCCCCCCAGGGGTTTCTGGGAGTATTTGTTACCATGGAGGAAATACAGGGTCTGGGGACTGGATGGAATGTACCATAGAAAGTTCAGTGGTCACAGAACACACGTACACACACACACACACACACACACACACACACACACACACACACACACTACATCTACAGCCACAGCCACAGCCCCCAAAATAACCAGCAACACCTGGATAGTGCGCCCTCAAAGCCTATAGAACTCTACAAGGTGATCTACACGGAGGTGGGAAAGGCCAGGTGGATCCGGATGGAGCTGGGTGCAAAACTATCACCTAGGGTGGGGGACAGAAGTCGAGGAGCAAGGTGGGGGGGTGTTGGGAGACATGCAACACAGGCACACACCCAGCAGTGAGGCCACCCAGTCTCCTGTCTAGAGCGAGGCAGTGGTGCTGGTCCCCTGGAGCATGCACGCAGCAGCCCCCAGCCCCAGTGTGTCCATTTATCCACCCCAATGTCCAGGGTGCCCCTCAGCAGGGCAGGCAGGTAGTTACCTCCAGGGGTTCACATCACTGACTCCTTCTCACAGGTGGCAGCATCCCTAGGGGGGCCCTGATACTGTTTGAGGAGGGGGTTCCCTTCCTCAATGGCAGCCGGCACTGGATTTGGGGGCACCTCACTCTTAAACTGGACCAATTCGGGCTCCATGCTCTGTATCTTCGTTCGGTCCACATAACTCTGGAGGAGTCCTGCCCCAAAAGCATCACCTTCCACATTGAGGATGGTACAGGACCGGTCCCTAAAAGGTAGAAGTGATAGAGAAGTCAGAGGGAAGAGAGGAGAGGCCAGGCGCCGAGGCCCAAGCTGTCTGCCTCCCCCCCTGGGATCTTCCAGTTCCCCAGCGCCATCTTCCTTTACCCTACCCCTCCCAGGGCTCATGTTCCCATCTTCTAGGATCCAAGTACCCCCTCCTCCTAGAACCTCAAAGATCTCTTCATCTAACCTCCAGGAGCCCCATACCTCTGCTGGGTCTCCTGGAATCCCAAAGTGTCCATCACATTTTTCTGCCTCCAATCCCCAAAAATCTCTCCCATCTGCCTCTGCCCAATCCTGTTTTTTTTTTTTTTAGTTGTTGATGGACCTTTATTTTATACATTCATTTATTGGTGGTGCTCAGAATTGAATCCAGTGCCTCACACATACTAGCAAGTGCTCCATCACTGAGCCACAACCCCAGCCCCCCAAACAATCCTTTTTTTCCCCGCAACACTCAATTTGTTCCTTCCAAAACCTCAAAAATCATTCCTCCCTCTCCCAGAGCCCCCCAAAGACTCCCCCACTCCATAAGACTGAAATTTCTGTTCAGGCCTTTCTCCTCCCTAAAATCCCTAAGGATCTTTTTCCTTCATTTTTATTCTTTTTGTGTTTAAGTGTCATTTGAGAAAATTGAGATATAATTCACCTACGATGAGATTTGCACTTTAAAGTGTATAGTTTGGTGATTTTTGGTAAATTCAGAATTGTGCACCGTCATCACAGTGTAACTCTGGATTATTTAATCACTGCAAGAAGAAACGACTGGGGGCTGGGGCTCTAGCTCAGTTGGGAGAGTGCCTGCAAGTCAAGCACTCCACCATCTGAGCTACATCCCCAGTCCTTCCCCTTGCTTGCTGTTGTGAATCCCGCTGCCAGATTTTGTGAGAACCTAAGTTTTCAATACCTTGGGTATATATCTAGGAGTGGCATTCCTAAGTCACATAGTAACTCAAATGTAACTTTTTTGGGGGGTACCAGGGATTGAACCCAGGGCACTTAACCACTGAGCCACATTCCCAGCCCTTTTTTTATATTTTCTTTAGAGACAGAGTCTCCCTGAGTTGCTAAGTGCTTTGCTAAGTTGTTGAGGCTGCCTTTGAACTCCAGATTCTACTGCCTCAGCCTCCTGAATCTCTGGGATTACAGGCCCATCACAGCACCCAGCTCATATGTAACTCTTGAAACCAAACTGGTTTCCAGTCTTTACACTCAATAGCTTCATCATGACAGTGAATAATTAAGTAGAATTTATCACTTAGGAGGAGAGGTTTGAAGGGAAGTATGTGAATTAAGTCATCGAATCCCTAACAAGAGTCTCCTCTCACCATTTTACAGATAGAAACTGAGACCTGGGGAGATGAAGTACTTGCCCAAGGTCGTACAGTGGATAGTAGCTCTGGGGTTTGAACCCAAACAGCCCAGCCTAAGAGCAGTTTCTGCTAACCACTCTGGTTCACCACCTTTTGGGGTTCCTCTTAGAACCTGACTGGAAGGCTCAAGATCCCACCCCTTCCCTCCGAAACTCCTTCCTGTCTCTCCTCTTCTGCCCAGAAGCATTCACAGACATTTTTGCCCATCCCCTTTTCCAGGGGCCCCCCTGAGTCCCCCAAGCCTCAAACCCACACTCACACTAGCCAATCCACAGCCAGAATCAAGGAGATTTCCCTGACAGGGAGACTGATTGCTTCGAGGATGATGGCCAGAGTGAGGATACCGCCTGCAGGGATGCCCGCTGCCCCTACGCTGGACGCGGTGGCCATGATCCTGGGGGAGAAGGAAGGAGAGGCGGTGAGTGGACGCCTCTGCAATGTGAGGAGATGGGGTCCGGTGGGCCCAGGGGTCCCAGCCACAGCCACTCGGCACTCACAGGATGATGATGATATCCACGAAGTTCAGGGATCGCCCGTTGAGCTGGGCAATGAACACAGTAGCCACGCACTGGAAGAGCGCCGCCCCGTCCATGTTGACCGTGGCGCCGATGGGCAGGATGAAGCGGCTAATGTGCTTGGACACGCCGTTCTTCTCCTCCACGCACTTCATCATGAGGGGCAGCGTGGCGGAGCTGCAGGGGAATGCTGGGCAGTGAGCTCCCCTCAAGGTCCAGGCCACGCCCACTCCTAGATGAAGTCCCGCCTGCTCCCAGGTGAGGCCACGCCCACTATCCTACCTCTCCCACTACCCCAGCTCCGCCTGCCCTTCTCTTCCTACCATCCCACAAGGTGCTAGGGATCCCACAAAATGCCACAGTTCCAAAATGTATGCCCACCCCATGCCCCACTGCATAAAATCCCTCACCTGGAGGAGGTCCCAAAAGCGGTGGCTAACGGTGCCATGATGCCCCACAGGAAGCGGTAGGGGTTTTTTCGGGTGAAGAGGAAGTAGATGAGGGGCAACACCAGGATTCCATGAATGGCGTGACCCAGCAGGCAGCACAGGATATATTTGCCGAGGCTGATGAAGAACTTCCCCACATCCTGCATCTTCGCAATCTGGCTGGCCACAAGGAACAGGATGCCCACAGGAGCATACCTAACGCCCAAGAGATAGATCACTGCCGCTCACATGTCCAAAAGGGCCAGGCACGGTGGTCAGCACCCTGCCTGACCCCATTTCCCAGCTTCCCCCAAGGTCAGGAGGAGCCCACAGCAATGTGCACTGAGGTTTGGACACCACTCCCAGGCCTGGCCCCTGGAAGCTTCTGTCGCCTCCTCCAGGCGCTTTTCCTTGAAGGCAGGTAAGCCCGGAGATAAAAACCTTCCTGTTCCATCACTGCTTGGAGGAGTATCCCCAGATTTGAACTTAACACATGAGTGTGGGGGGGGAACATCTATCATGCCTGACTCATTTGTTTTCTAGGCTTGCTTATTACAGCAACTGGCAAACCTTGAATCAATATTCTCAGCACATCATGAAAAACCAAAAGGTCATGGTTCAGGTCTTAGTAACTCCAGGGTATGAGGCTTTTACGATGCACTGAGCCCTTGATCATGACCGAATCTTCACCATAGCCCACACAAGAGCTCCTATTATAAATGAGTCTCTTACAGCTATTAGAGAATCAAACACTGACCAGCTCTATAAAACAGGCCCCCAAATGCTACCAATGGAACTGCTGGGTGAAATGAGATGCCAACTGAAAAGAGCTGAAGGCTTTCAAGTCATTGACATACTTCTGATGGGACTGCCGTCACCCTCTCCTGCAGGAAATATCCCAAAGGGTGTGTGCCTCCTCTGCAGGCCTCCTGAGGTCACCTCCCTGACAGTCTGACTGCTGTGGCTTGTTAGTTATCTCCCCAGTCTCCTCTTCATCCCAGCCACCTGTGCAGCTAGGTGTGGCCAGGTGCCCGAGTCCAGCCAGTGGCACATGCCCGGCAGTTAAACAACACAGTGCGAAATAAAATGTTTGCTGTTGCCATTTACAATGCAGGTTTTTATTCATAGATGGACACAATATCTTTTTGTTTTAAATTATACTTTGGACCTTTATTTTAAGTTATTTGTATGCGGTGCTGAGAATCAAACCCAGTGCTTCACTCACGCTAGGCAAGCACTCTACCACTGAGCCACCACCCCAGTCCTTGTTTCTTTATTTTTATGTGGTGCTCAGGATCGAACCCAGTGCCTCACATGTGCGAGGCAAGCACTCTGCCACTAAGCCACAACTCCAGCCCCCGGCCCTTGGAGGCTGGTACCATTTGCCCTATCACCCCAATGAGGAAACCGAGGCACCCAGGGGTTAAGTAACTTAGGGTAGGACTTGCAGCTGAAACAGCAGAGCCCTGCTCTTGGCCATACCACCACCTAGCCTCCCTGCATAGTTCTTGAGTCAATCAAGACACATTTAATCCATGTCATGAGCACATGGCAGGCAAGGGATACAGGGAAGGTATTGGAATGGGGGGGGGGGTGTTTAAAAAAAAAAAAAAAGCAAAGATCCTGTCCCCCTCCTAATCCTGATCTTTTAGATCCAGAGAAGATCCTAAGAATCAGTGTGAGACTGTTATGGGCCAGACTATATAAGAGCAATGAACAAATAGACTCCATTTTACCCTGATACTCCATGTCATGTAACAAATGCTTCTCCCATGGGAACCCCCCCCCCACTCTGTACCTGTCAATAATTGCTTAGCATAGCATGTTTGGCAACACAAAAGCAATTCCTATACAATGTAAAATTGTTTTCTCCTTGGTTCCAATTTTTTTGGACAATGTATCCTGTCAGAGATGGATTGTCTGGACATTAGTAACCATTCTCTAACTTGTACTCAACTAGAGTCATTTTGACCCACTTCCCTTATGCTGGCTTGCTTCTATGCCAACCTGGAAAGCCCCATGGGAAATACCAAGGTACCCATTGCATTGTCTCACCAACTGCTCAGTTCAGCTCTGTACCCCTCTTGCTTGCAGCTACCTCAAGATGGATGTGGTTTCTGCAGTTTTTGCCTTTAAAGACCCTGAAATGCTCTCTGGCTGGAGGCTGTTCCTTGCAGAGACAGTTATGGGTCCTGCAAAGAGCAGTTGCGGCTGGCTAAATAAAGACTCTCCAATTCGGACAAAATAGATTTGGTATGTTTTCTGAGCAGTCTGCCCCATAACAACACCACAGAGAGAAGTGGGGAGCCACAGGCCTCTGCACGTGGTTGTTTTGCCCATTGTCTGGGGTCATTTAACAAATCATAATGACAATAACCACAGTAAATTAAGTGGGGGCTGGGGTTGTGGCTCAGTGGTAGAGCACTTGTTTCACATGCATGAGAAAGGCACTGGGTTCCGTTCCCAGCACTGCATATATTAAAAAAAAAAAAAAAAGAATAAAATAAGGATCCATCAACAACTTAAAAAAATTAAAAAGAAAAAAACATTAAATGAATGTTCACTAAGTAGCAGGTGCTTAAAGCACACTTTTTTTTGTGTGTGTGTGTGTGTTAGTGGGTATTGAACCCAGGGTATTGTGCATGCAAGGCGAGCACTCTACCAACTGAGCTATATCCCCAGCCCCTTAAAGCACACTTTTTAAAAAACATTTTTTTTTTCTTTTTTGCAATGCTGGGGATCAAACCCAGGGAGGACCTGGCACATGGCTGGCAAACACTGCACTGCTGAACCACACCCCCACCCTAAAGCAAGCTCTTTACCTGAGTGACTCACTGAATCTTTATGAGCACCCTAGGAAGTAGCTTATTGATTCAAAGGAATTGAAGGAGCCTAATGGGAAGGAGGTCCAGGGCATGAACATCCTGGGCCTGGTGGTGTTTGCCATCATCTTTGGTGGGGATCATATAATTGCAATTTCTGAAATTGAGGTGCATTAGCTAAGTGGCAGCCTCAGCTTTGTTGTCCATTGTCACCTTCTACAAAAATGGAGAAAGTGCCAGCATCAGAGTCTTAGGACTTACGGAATACACCACGGTTGCCATTCTATACATGAGGAATCTGGGGCTCAGAATGCTATTTGCTAGAAAGCTATTTGCCTGAAGTCTCAGAGCCAGGGAATGAATGGTCGATGCTGGATTTGAATGCAAGCCGTCTTGTCTCCAGGGAGGGTGCAGAGGGTCCCCCACCACACACATGGTGGTGCTTGGCCCTTCTCCTTCCACTTACCACATGATCCAGGAGACCAGCACCATGGTGGCATCATTGAAGGAGTTGAAGAAGCGGATGAGCAGCTCCCCCTCAGGGCCTAGCTTCCGCAGGGCCCCACCAAAGATGATGGCAAACACCACCAGGCCCAGGATGTTCATGCCCTCGACCTCCTTCCCATTAGGCTCCTTCAAAAGGAAGAGATGGGGAGGGGAACTCAGCCACCTGCCGGGTCACCAGAGGCTGCTCTGGGCCCTCCTGAAACCCAGCAGAGGCAAGTACAGGCCCAGGGGAAAGAGACCAGTCCCCAGGGGTCACCCAGAATGAACAGGGTTGGAATGGGGGAGCCCAGGGGAGAGCCTAGAGAGAGAAGGGGGTGCAGCTTGGAGAATGACCAGCATCAGGGAGAGCTGCCCAGGGGAAGGGGGAACTGAGCTGAGACTGGAGGGGAGGAGGGGTGCACCAGGTAGAGGGGCTGTAGAATATTCTAGAGAAAGGAAATCATGTGCAATAGCCTTGAAATGAAAGCTGGCCGTGGTGGCTGGAGGAGAATGAGCTGGACAGAGGGAGTCACAAGATGGGGCTGAGGGAGGGTCAGCATGAAAGGAAAGTGACCACAACACTCGGAGCAACCAAAAGATCTTTATTGCAGCAGTGCAACAAAGAGAAAAGAAAGAAGGAAAAAGAGAGAGAGAGAGAGAGAGAGAAAAGCGCATGCAGGAGAGAGACAGAGAAAGCAAGAGAGATAGCAAGACAGAGGGAGCAAGAGAGAGGGGGCCCTGGCAGGAGGGAGGTTTTATAGCCCAAATCTAATGGGGCCTCTGGGTCTGCAAGCTGCCTTGTGGGCCCAAGGGGGGTTGAGTGCTCAGCCTTGAGCGGGACTTGACACAAACAGGTGATAAAGGACCAGATAGAGGGGGGTTTGAGTGCGTGGGCTATCTTGCAGCCAACATCTGTTCAGCCTGCCCTGCAGACAACACAGTTCAGCCTGCTCTGCACCCAACACAGCAGGGGTCCTGTCTGATGGGGACCCCTGCCCTGTGGCAAGAAGTCGGGGCTTTCTTCTGAGGGCTTGGGAGGGCTTGGGGCAGTGGAAAAGGAGGGTCAGACCTGCACTGTGGAAAGACCCCTCTGGCTGCAAGTTGGAGGATGGGTGAGAGGGACAGGTGGGATTGGGGGGGAGAGCCTGGACTAGGGCA